AGAGAGGGCCCATTTCCTGAAGAGTTTTTAAATCTTCTTTTCTTTTGCGGTGGCAAATATTTAGATTTTATATCTAGTCAGGATAAAACATGTAATAGAACATGATGAGGTTTTAAGGCTGAATCCTCTAATTAATCATTGGTCCAACTGGTGACTTGGGAAGGAGTCCCCAGGCACAATGATTTGAACATCTGGGGCTACCACATAGTAAAAGCACCTACCTTGGGCCCTCCCTGGTGGCGCAGTGGGTTAAAGTACAGCACTAAGAAGCTTAAGCCACTTCCGCATGAGTTCGATCCCCGCCTGCCCCGGAGGAGATCCACATGGCAAGGCAGACCTCTCCTGACCCGCCCGCTGCTCCCCTCATCTGCCTGTTCTGCTCCCCACTCTGTCTCTGGTGAATCCTCTCACCCTCCGCATCTCTGGCCTGTACCCCAGTTCTGTATGAATAAATAACTAAACCTTAAAAAAAAAAAAAAGCACCTACCCACCCCAGAAAATCATGGTTAGAATACATGTCAGATAACTTTCTGTAACAACCAGGTCCAAAACCCAAGGCATAAAATGACAATCATCTTTCTGGTCCAACTGCTGGTCGGCTACGGGTCAGTTGATTTAGTTTAGGCTTATCCGGGATGATTCTATTCCGTGTGCTTCATCCTCCGCTGACCCAAACTAGGTCTTCTCATGGAAGGGAAGTATAAGAGGACCAAGAAACACAAGGCCACTTTAGACCTAATCTCAGAACCTTAACATGGCTACTTCCCTGAGTGAAAGGAACTCCAGAGTCATGGCAAAAGGTATGAATATATATTTGGGCCAACACCATAAACTGCTCCACAAAAGGCCATGACTGTGACATACATACCTTTGGTGAATAAACCACATAGCTTGTCTGCTACTGTGACAGGTCTGACTGTCGTTGGGATTCATGATGGCTATCATTAACCACAATCAGTCACTCAGTATTCCTCCAAGCTCTCCTACTTTTGGTCCCGTGGTCAACCTTCTGATTTTCCTTGGGTTTTCATGTGGCTGTTTGATCAAGAGAGATGGGTACTTGTGCTCTGCATTGATTCTACTTCCCAGTCTGTGTTCATAGGCATGCCATTACCTGCTTCATCCTCTAGTGAGCCTGACATCTTCAAGGGAGTTTAGCTTGAATGCCAAGCTGGAAAAGGAGCAAATTTCTAAATGTGGAAAGCTTAAAGTCAGTTTACATACTCTGGCAAATTCATACTATAAAGCCAGTGGACAACTAACTAATGACTTTTTCTTGGGGAGACCTCTACTGTGGGGTAATTTTTGCCGGGATTTCTGTAGTTTCTCTACATTTAAACCCAGCACTTTGCTTTTAATTGTGGAAGGGAAGAGAGTTACAATCCACATTATCTTCTTTCAGGGCAGCCAAGTATATACATGACGATCATAGGACTCTTGTCAGGGAAGAACCACTGGGGTATGACTGATGTAATAAGATCTTACGGAATTGTGGGACAGACCAGGGAAATAAAGGTCTGAAAGTGAGACTGAAGAATCAGAGAAAAAGTCACTAATTAGCCCCCATAAAGCCAGTGCAGGTGGACTTGTAGGATCAGAAGGGGCAATCAATCTACCCCACCTGGGCTCAGAACCATTGAAATTTATGATTTCATAAGCATGCTAGGACTTTGTATGCTTTTGAAGAATTGTTCATTCATTTGATAGAGATTCTTCTACGTGTGAGGCAGTATAGTGTGTTCAGGGAATCATAATTCCTGTCCATCAGTAAATCATGGAGTGAGTTTTGTAGGAAGAGGGGAAAGAAGCCAATGCTCAGTTATTGGGTAGGTGCCACAGGAGAAAAATTGGTGGGCAATGGTTGGACTGCTGACACAGAGCTCCAGATTCTCTCTCAGATGGGTCATTTTCCAGAAGAGGCGATACTTCCATTGATTGAACATGAAATTGCCAACAGATAGCTGTAAGGAAGAGGTAATAAAAAAAACAAGTAGTTCAGAAGGTCAAAAACATGTGGGGATGAGGCTGGAGAGGTAGGAGTGGATTCAGCCACAAAGTCCTCATCAGTTGCACTAAATGAGAAAAGAATGAAAAGAGTCCAGGAGTAGGGGTAAGTGATTTCTATCAAATGAAAGAATGCATACACACAGAAAAATTGAAGCAGTACCTTTATTCGCATGCACAGTAAATGATTTTTCTCCTTAGGCCTGCCTCAAATGATGACATTAAAAAAATTCATGCTTACTACTAAAAAACAAGCAGCCAACCCAGTTTCACTTAGAACATTGTGACAATCATTTTATGGGAATAGGTTAAGCACCAGGTCATGAAGAAAGGTGAATATCCTCCATTCATCTCGGAGTAGTCCTGCCTTTGAGGGTAGAACAAGAAGGAGGCTCATTTCAAGGAAAACAAAGAACATGGTTTCATGGTTTTCAAAGAACTATATCTGTCTACAGAGTGGATTCTTTTTTTTTTTTTTAAGATTTATTTGTTTATGTATACAGAACTGGGGTACAGGCCAAAGGTGCAGTGCCGGTGAGCGGATTCACCAGAGGCAGATTGGGGAGCAGAACAGGCCGACTATGATAAAGTACACTGCTGAGGAGAGCAGCGGGCAGGTCAGGAGAGGTCTGCCGCACCATGTGGGTCACCTCCAGGGCGGGGATCGAACTCATGCAGAAGTGGCTTTAGCTTCTTAGTGCTGTGCTTTAACCCGCTGCGCCACCAGGAAGGGCCCTCAGAGTGGATTCTTTTAAGGAGGTTTTTTAGATGGAAGGAAACTCATCAGTTCTTCCTCTTGAATTCTTCCTCGTCGGTGAGGGAGTTTGTTAAGGTTTTCAGCCTGGGGCCCAAGTACTCAGTCCTTTTCAATAAATATTGAGGAGCACTTACATATTCATTCATTCACTCTTCACTCATTGAAATGACATTTTTATGCCCTGCTGTATGATGTCAGGTGCTGCAGGGGAGTAAAAGATGGATAAAGCTCCTTGCCCATGAGAACTAACACATAAATGGAGCTGTCTAATCAAGGATGAATTCTACCTGAGGGGCAAATGAGAAAGACTCTCTCTTTATACATGTGTAATAGCTATCTGTATATCTATGTCACATATAAATAATATACCTAGAGAGAATATATCACATATGTAAATTTTATGCTATGTGAGATCCTTAAGTAGAGCACATACATATTTGTATATGTAATATATAGAAACACTGAAAGTTAAAAAAGCCTTGTAGAGGCCCTCCCTGGTGGCGCAGCAGGTTAGAGCATAGCACTAAGAAGCTAAAGCCACTTCAGCATGAGTTTGATCCCCACCCTGGAGGTGACCCATGTGGTGCAGCAGACCTCTCCTGACCTGACTGTTCCCCTCAGCAGTGTGGTCAGTTGGCCTATTCTGTCCCCTACTCTGTCTATGGTGAATCCTCTTACCACCCCTGCACCTCTGGCCTGTACCCCAGTTCTGTATGCATAAATAAATCTTTTTAAAAAAGAAACCCTTGTAGTCAATCTAACTCTACTTGGCCAGCTACTATTTGTTTGACCCTCAGTAATAACAGTTACATTGCAATTGAGGATTAAATGAGATGACTCATGTGAAACTTTGTGCAAACACTACAGAAGTTTGCAAACATTTGTAGTAGTGACAACTTATTGAAGATGAATGTGTTAGGGCTTTGAAGCAGTGTTTATCAAAAGTGTGTGTGGAAACTAATGCTCTAGGAGGTAACAGACATTGAGCAAGAAGTTGTGTGTTTTGCAGGGGAGGCAAAATTTTACCTCTGCCTTCTTAGGGTCTATGGATGTGACTGAGAATTAAGTGGACTTAAATAGATTAGCAGGTGCAAAGTGTATAGATTTTTCCATGTCAATGGGAGAACCCCTGGGAGAGAAAGACCCAAAGAAGCAGCTTGAGTCACATATATACTAAGTTAAACAAAGAGTAGTAAAGGGGGCCCGGGCTTGGGCAGTGTAGAAATGAGTAGGGAGATAAGGGGTGGTCTGAGAAGCCGGACCCCATCTCTGATAAGAACAGTTCTTTTACTGTTCTTTTACATGGGAGTTTCACCTGCTTTCAGGAAGAAAAAAGGCTAGAAAGTGCTTCTTGCTTCTGTTTTTCAAGTTTCTGTTTCTCAAGTGTCTTTAAGCAAATAATTCTTACGTCAAAGTGGTACAGTGTGCCACCCCTCAGGCCCTCTCAGTTTGGGAAATGCAGGGTGCTACAAAGTGAAACAGGGGTTTTAGGCTTATACACGCTTTGACCATCTCAAGGAGAGCAATCGTGCTGTGTCTCTTCCCCCAGATTAACTCGATTTGGGATCTATCACAGCCTCCTCCACCCCGATTCTAGTGTCTTCAGTGTTTGGAGGGAACCAGCATTCACTTTGCAAAAAGGCTCCTGAAGAAAAAGTATTGTCTTTTATTTCAATCGACGGTCCATCAGACTCTCAAAAACGGAACCCTTCGTCGGCGATAATCCGGGTCAGCTTTCCAGGTACAGTGATGCAATTCCTACCGTGGGAGGCTGCAGAGAGCCCAGCGCTGCACGGGGCGGGACCTCGTGGGGGACACTGACTCCCTTGATAGTGAGAGTAGAAGCAAAGCCACAAAAGTTAAGAGAGGCGGGCTGATTCTCAGCTACTCTATAATTAGAAATACCCAAGTCAAGTCATGACACCAGGAGACTAAGGAAAGATGCTGCGATTCCAAGAAAAGGGTGCGGTAATACTTCTGTGAGACTGCTGCTCCTTCCGCTTCTATTCATAGAGGTTCTCAGTTCAAGGTTTCCTTGTATACCTACCTTTTGCCTCCAGAAGCCCCAGCACCCTGTCCGCCCCGCAGCGGCTGCGCACACCCGGGGCGCTGGAGTCCAGGGCGCATGCGCAGGCGTCCAGGTACCAGGCGGAGGCCCCCGCCCGCCCCGCCCTCCGCGCGCACCTCTTGAGGGGCGGGGCGAACCTGCCGCGGGGCGGGGCGGGTCTGAGGGGGCGGGGCCTCGGGCGCTTTGGTTCCAAGTGACCAAGTCACGGTTCCCGCCCGCAGCGACGGCGGAGCTCCCACGGCCTCGAGCAGGTAACCAGCCGCCGGCTTCACCTCAGCGTGGTGTGGGGCGGGGGCCCCCGAAAGCCGCCCGCG